ATGAACTAAAGTTAATGTCCAACTGACTCTTAGTTTACTGTTTTTATTGTACCTATTGTGTTAAAAAAAATTTTAATGCTAGTCCACAAGCATCCCCATCTATATGTTCACTTGAATTTTCCTGCTATGATAGATTCACATTATTTGTTTGATACATCTAAAAAATATAAAATATGTTTTCAATGTAAACATAGATATGAAATAATACAACTATAAATTAAATAATATTACTGTACTAGGTAGGTAATCAAATCAGTTGAGCTTAGTCTGACTCATAGGCTGCATGTAGGGACTTTAATGGGTTCAGCAGGCGTCAGTATTCTGTTTCACAGTATCAACAAAGTATCAGTTTGGCAACGCTTTGAAAAACACTTCATGACGCCTCACCAACTCATCATTAGTACTGTTGTTTAGAATAGTCAGTTTGAACTGATAAGACTTAACTATTCTTTTGCTTTGCGCATGCGTACCACTATTACATTTAAAAGTAATGAATGGATGAGAAGTGGACAGTATTTGCCTTCAATATTTGACCTGGGCTGCAGTTAAATTAACTGATGTGTCAGTGGGGCATTGGTGTCATGGATTTGTATCTCAGTTGGTGTTAAGGAAGCCATTTGCTTTAATATTGGATCAGGGCCGGCCCAAGCCTCAATGGGGCCCTAAGCAAATTTAGTATTTAGGGGCCTCTATTTCTTCCAATATTATGTGCATTATTTACAGTCCTTCCTTTATATGCATCATCTAGTAGTGTTATTATAAAATGAACTAGTGTGGGGTTTTATTTACAATAAGCGTTTGGTTTTGGTTCCAGCTGCAACAGCAATGTGCAAAAATAGCATATAATGCAAGAAGAACAAGAAAACAAAATAGCTTTGATAGATTAAATAGCAAATAAAATTTTACATAAACAGAAATAATTAAGTCAAATAAACAGCAGAATCTTTATACTTGTCCTTATTCACTGTCTATGTGCCAATAATGGATATGTAATTATTTCTACATAGCAAAAGAATTTTTGGTATAAAAAATGCAAACTATTGTAATGATAATTGTGTTTTTAGCTATATTTATACAGAAATCATTATACTTGCAAAAAATAAATAAATAAATCCCAAAAATCACAAATATATTTGTTGCCCTGGGGCCCTTAGCAGTCGCTTAGATTGCTTAATCTTGTGCTGGCCCTGCATTGGTTTTATACTTATCTGCATTAATGTCGTCTGCCCTTGTCTTCTTAACAATCCCATTTAAACTGTTTTGAGGTTTAGATTTAGAATTTTCTGAAAGATCAAGTACATTCATACCATTACTCATTAGGCCAAGTGATGGCACAAATTTTTTTGCGTTACATGTGCCAATAAAGTCCCACTGGAAAATGAAATCAGTATGTCCACAAAGCTTGGAGAGAAAAAAAAATGTGTAAAGTGCTCTAAAATTCCTTGATGGATGGCTGAGCTGACTTTGGCCCTCAGAGGAAACCGATGTGTAACTGTTTGTAATGATGCTGGCTGCAGCTGCAATTTATGCATTATACATCTAACCCACATTATTGAATGGGTTTTTTCTGGTTTTGCCTCACAGTTCATAAAGACTTGCAATTATGAGCATAATTCTCTTCCCATTACTTTTGCTCTATGTGCACATATAAAAGAAGTAAACAAACACAAATCATGGGATTTGTGACACAGTGTATAAATTAATTCACTCTGTTTTTAAAGGGGTTATTTCATTGTTTGTTGCTAGAAAAAAAGCTGGCAACTGAGCAGTAAAGAAAACAG